AAGTACAGAAAGACGTTTTTTCAGGGATTCTTGCAGCCTGCTTCAGCCTTCTGCAAAGCAGTGTTACATTTGGCCTACATAGAATGGCTGTGTGCACCTGTGTGCTGACTGCAAGCTCTACCCAGCTCGGCCCTTTGTGGTTGTTATTCTACCCCAGACCATTAAAAGGGCCCTAATTCCTATGACATGATTATCCAGGTACCAAAGCCCATTTGTCACCTGCAGCAGAAAATTGAGTTAATGCACAACTAAAGGCAGCCAGGACTGTGTAATATCAACTTGATTACATCAAACTAGCTGCAAACCTAATTCTGCTGGATGACACTGCGTCGAGCTTGTCATCTCCAATCATTAAAGCTGTCAGGAATCCATCAGGTTTACAGCTAATTAGGTGAACACTAATGAAGCTGGCAAAACAACTTTTCTTTTTTTATGGCTGAGCGGACCTTTCAGTTTGGAGGGGAAAAAAATTCTCGAGTATTCTCAAGGTTGCTGGGGACTGGATTTCCAGTTACCAATCAGCAGACATCTTTCTTTTTCCCACTCTCTCTCTATCAGTACAAAGCAATCAATTTGTCATCACTCCCAGTATGCCACAAAAGCAGGCATGAACCTTATAACTTGCAGCTGTGAGAACTAAAAAAAGGAGGAAAAAAAATGGGAAGTTTCTCGTCCATCCAAACAAACAACAACAAAAACTCACACAGCTCACTTATTGGCTTGTGCATACTTATTGCCAGCTTAAATGTGGAAGTTTCTTTTTTCCTTCCACTCTCCTTAAATAAGTAGCCCTTCAGTCATTCTCCACCCCCTCCTCCACATGTCCATTAGGCAGAGGCATTCTGATAAAGTAAATCCAAAACCAGGGTATGGGAAAGAAAGAAAGCACTCACGCTGCCAACTTCTGATTGACCATTAAGCTATTGATGAATGTGCCTGTCAGGAGAGAGACAATTAAATCAAATATGAAACAAAGTCGTTCTGACGGGTCATTTTGATAGAGCAAAACCATTCTTCCATCTCCTATTAGTCGTGCAGTCAAGTTTTTATATAATGAATTTTTCTTAACTGACCTGAGATTTCCTGGCTGGCCTTTTAAAAGGTGCAAAAAAGGTTAGGGAACAGGTTGCTTTAAAAAATAAAAATAAGGCCAACTATACATTTCTTCCTTCTGTAGTCATTTTGGAAGAAAGTCATCCAATAAGAGTCTAAGATGGGCAGGGCAGAAGAGCAAATATGAACTGTAGAGAGAGTTCTAAATCAAATGTAAAGATGTAATCACATATGGTTTATCTGATTGAGGCACTCAGATACCTTACAAAGTGTATCCAAAAAGAAAAGAAAAAAAAATCTTGAAGACTGGAAGAAGCCCAAGACATTCCTACTACCCAACTTTGTGGAGAATTCCTCCAAAGTTTTAGAGTTTATTTTAGGTAGATAAGCTCACTACTTGAGTTTGGAATATGAAACAGAAGTTAGGATGAGCAAGAAGCATCAGAAGGTGAGCTGGGAGGCCGCACTCTCTACAAGCACTACTGAGATTCTTCAAACTTTCTAAATTTGGGCAACATTGAGGATAGACAGCAAAACCTACATTATGTGCACCAAACCAGTTCTATTTTCCTACTAAGGTTTTCTTAAGACTGACAGGACAGCACATTTCTGGAGGAAAAGAGAACATCACTTCCTTTCTGTGACCCTGCAAAAGAGACTGAGTCCAGAGTGCAGCTAATGTGGGGAGCTTCACCAACCCAGTGCTTGCTGGATGGCTTGATGGAAATCACCATCACCATGGGTACCACTAGCACTCAGGGCACCAGTGCCTGAGCCTTCTCTCTGCCCTCTTCGCTTCCATCAAAACAAGAAGGGAAAGGATAGAAAAGAAGTGAACCTCTAGGCAACCCTCCCTTTTCAGGCCGTATCTGACCCTCTGCTCATCTGAGTGTTACTCATATCAAAATACATCGCGTCCATATGTGATACACCCCAGCAATCTGCCCCGAATCCCCAAAGTTTTTGCACTGACAAGCCCTTCTGACGTCACAGAGGTTGGCCTCACTATTGCAAGTGATTTATTGATGTTTATTGGGAATGAATAGATCAAAGGCAGCAGCATGACAGGCGATCAATCAGTCATCAAATCAAGGGTGGCAATGGGCCAGAAACCCTTCTTCCAGGCAACATGCCCCCGACCAACATTATTGCAAAATAATATAATGTGTGTGGATTTTGTTTTGTTTGTAATGATGCTTTTATCCAGAAAAGAAAAAAAAATCAGTTTGGTCTTAACAGGAGTTAACACTCCTGGAAAAAACTGGGAGGGTGAGGAGAAACACTCAGACACGTCCCAGAACTAAGTGCTATAAGGGAAGGAAAAGCAGGGTAAGGAGGGGCGGGGGGCGGGTAAGGGGACACAAACGAGGTGGAGGAAATAACAGCATGGAACACAGACTTGACAGTCATCTGACAATACCCAGACCCTGTGCGCTCTGGTTTCCACCACTGTGCCCGGTTTGGGCCCAATAAATGAAGAATCAATCGAATTAGGAGTAAGGTGACCAAGGGGACCGGCTGGCTCACTAGCTCGCAGTCTCGCGTTCTGCAGACACGGGCAGTCCCCCGCCGGCCGCCGCGGGAGGACACGGAAGGTGTCCCAGGGAACTCAGGTGACCCCACCCGCCCCCCACAGAAAGAGACGACAAGGGTTCTTTCCCATCCGTTCTGCCGCCGGAGAGCCGGGGAGGCGGGTACCCGGCGTGGCTCAGTCCGCCCCGAGCGCGGTTCCCGAAGTGGGTTCGAGAGGGAGGAAGGCAGAGCGCAGCGGGGCGTCCGGGGGCGCCCGGGACCCGAGGCGGGCGCACGCACCCAAAGAGAGGAACAGCGAGCGAGCGGCGCCCGGAGTTACTCAGCGCAGGCGGAGGGCGAGGGGCGAGGAGTGCGGCCGCCAGCGGCCGGAGGCGCGGGGCAAGGAGAGGAAGAGGAGAGGAGGAGGAAGGAGAAGCGGCTCGTACCTGCTGCGCGCCGGGGCGCCTGCTGCTTCCTCCTCGGCATGATGCTTCTCCCGCTACTGCCACCGCCGCCGCCGTCGCCGCTGCCGGGCTGAGGAGAGGGAGGGAGGGGCGGCGGGCCCGCGGGGGGGGCGAGGCGGGCCTGCTCTCAGCCTCCCCCCCGGAGAGCGGCCGCCCGCAGGATGCTGCTGCGCCCCGGCTCTCCGCGTCCCCCCCTCGCCGCGCTCCGCCGCGATCCCCGAACGTGCGGAGGGAAGAAGGAGGGCGGGCGAGGGAGGCGCGGGGAGGGAGGAGCGCAGGGGGAGGAGGAGGTCTGGAGGAGGAGGAGGTGGCGGTGGTGGAGGAGGAGGAGGAGGACCGTGCTGCCGGTGGAATGGGAAGTTTGACAAATCGCTCCAGAGGCCGGAGAAGGAGGGGGCGGGGAGGAGCGGCGGCCCTGCCCCCCCCCCCCGCCCCGTCCCCAGACGAGGTGCGCGGGGCTCGGGGCTGGGGGGCGGGGAGAAGGGGAGAAGGCGGGCAGAGGGGTGGGAGGAGGAGCGCGGGAGCGCAGCCCGCCGGTCCTGCCCCGGCCCCCGCCCCCGGGCAGGGGGTCACGGCATGGGGGGGCGTGCAGCCGCCGCCGCGGCCCGGGGCTCAGCGGTCCAGTCTTCTGCCCGCGGCGCGGCTGGAGCGGCGGCGTCGGCAACAGGCAAGCTTAAAGGAAAAGGAGATGATCGTGTCACTCGCCTGCCCGCTGGGGCGCCGCGCCCCCGCCCCCGGCCGCGGCCCGGGGCCTGCCTAGGACCCCCGCCCAGTCCGCGGACCCGGTGCCGCCCCTCAGCCTCCGCCCAGTGTGCGCACGAAGGGGCGCGGCGCCAGCCGGGGCGAATCCATCCCGGGGCGCCCATTGCCCCCTCCCGCCCCGCGTCCCCACCCGGGCTCGCCCCCCGGGAACCCCCAGGCGCCCCGCTTGGCCCACGCTCCTTTCTGCCCCCTGCGTTCGAAGCCCCCAGAGTAATCCCTGGCCCAGGGCTTTGGCCCCTGGAGGATGCCAGGGCCGTGGGCGCCCTCGAGGGTAGAGGCGGTCGCTGGCCCGGCTGGGTGGGGGCCTCCCTCAGCCCCGCGCCACCCGGCTCCTCCCCTGGGATCCACCGCTGCCACTTCCCCTTATTTTTTTTCCCCAGGCAAACTTTCCCGGGCCCGTCACGAGGGTCAGCTTAGAAAGAGGTTCCTCTAAGTTTCCTCTCTAGACTTTGAGATGATCAGGGTCTCTCCATCCCGCCTCTAGTCCCCTCGGGCGCCGGGCCGCGCCCCCATCCCCCTCCCCGGCGCTCGCAGTGATCCCAGGGCAGGACAGAGGAAGGAGAGGAAACTCCCTCTCCCCAGCCCATCCCCCGCCCCTGGGCGCCCACGAGATGGGACCACCCAGCCTCGCCCGGCCTGGGGGCAGTTCTGGGGGAAAGGGATTGATTATTGATTGGGTGATCGGGGTCTTCGAGGCATCGGGCGGGCCCAGCTGGCAGGCCGGGAAGAGGAGAAGCTGGCTGGGCTGCTTCGGCGGCAGGGCGACGCAGGCTCACTTACGGGCGGCGGTGAGGGCGCGGGTGGGCTGGAACTCATGGGGGCGACCCTCGGGCGGCGGCGGCGAAGCTGGAGCCGGAGCGCGAGCCGCGCGGGCGGCGGCGCATCGATGCGCTGCGGGCTCGATTGCGTCTCCCTGGGCCAGCTCTTGGGCCGGGAATGGGGCGGCCTCGGCTGGGCCGGCTCCGGGCGCTGCCGGGCGCTGGTGGTGGGGACGCGGGGGCGGCCTCCGAGCCCGCTGTCTCTCGGGCAGCACTACGCAGGGGCGCGCCTTGCCAGGGCCCCGACGCTCGCGCGGGCCTGGAAACCCACAGTCCCAGCGAGGGCTGGAGCCCCGCGCCCCGGGACTGGCTGCCTGTGCGCTCCCGGAGCTGCAATCCCGGCCTCCTTTCCTTTTCTTTTCTTTCTTCTTTTTTTTTTTTTTGTTTCTTTCTTTTTTAATCTTTTCCTCCCACCCTTTCTCCTTTTAATGTTTTCTTTGTGATTGTTTTTGTAAGTTTGTTTTAAAAGTTCACAGCATGCTTTCTTTTCTTGTAGACTAGGAGACCGTGATCTCACCCTGACGGTAAGATCAAAAGTCTCCGCTCGCCCCCAGCCTGCAGGCTTGGGCTTGGTCCAGACGCCTCCCTGAATGCAGATGTGCCGCCGCCGCCGCCGCCTTCGGCTTCCCCAGCTATAAAACTGCCTCCAGCGCCTTGGCGCGCGCAGGAGCGCTTGGAGTTGCGGGGTGCGGACCCCGGGCGGGGCCGGGAGCCCGAGGCGGGTGGCGGCTGGACTCTGGTGCTGGCGGTGTGTGGCGTGCTCGTGGGTGGGACGCCATGCGCGCTTGGTGCCTGTGGCCGCAAAGGCCAGAACGGCGGCCCCTCCAGGCCCCGGAGACGCGGCCGTGGGGCGTGAAACGCTTCTTGCGAGCGAGGGAACGGTGAGTCGGCAAACGCCGCCGGCGCCTTACGGTTCTGGTGGCTGAGCCGGGCTCCTCTCGCCAGGAGGAGGGTCGGCTCCGCGCGAGATCAGCTCCCACCGGCCCCAGGCTCACCCTGGAAGCCGCGGTGCCCACTTATGCGCGCGGGCTGCGGCGTGTATGCACAGCATCGGGCACTGCGTACCGAAAACAGGGAGTTTGCTCTGATGGTGCTTCCCTCCGCCTTTCCTTCCCTTTGCTGTTCTTCCAACCTCTGTACCCTCCGCTCTCTGCCCCTGTGGACGGCTGCCGAAGCTCGGGTCTCCACATCGCCTACTGCTGCAGCCTCTTGATCGGTGTCTCTCCCTCCCCCGCTCAGGTGCGGTGCGCTGCGCGATCCTAACATCTGTCCGTCCCGCCATTGACGTATCCATCAGTGTCAATGGACCTCACATTGGGCGACAGCGTCAAGCACAACACCGGCCATAACGGGGTGCACACCAGCGCTCTGCACAGCCTGTCCCGAACACAGACTGGGATTTGGCTATCTTGACACTGGGATCTGGCTGACTTGGTACAGCCTGGATCCCTGTCTTCTACTGTGATCTTTTAGCCACATATATTCGCCCTCCTCCTTGGTTTAGAGATCCCCACCAGATGAAGAGTTTTTTTAGGCCGTTCTAGGGATGGGACAGATGAAAAGCAGCAGCATCACCCATTGAATCCCAATAATTCTCTGCCCATTTTCTGCGGGTTGGGTGTGGTTAGAAGAGAAAGAACAAGAAATTTCCAAATCTTTTCTAGCCACAGTACAGATCTAGAAGATATCTGGATACCGAGGCTTCAGCCCATTTCACTTGGGCATTTCACCTGGGTGACTGAAATAGCATGGCAGGTCTTAGCCAGAAACGTTCAAGATTAAAACTTTACTTCACCTACCTGGCTGCTGCTCCACCAGGCCTGACCCTAAGCTGGAGAAAGGAAGGAAACACAGATCCAAGTGAAAACTCAGGGGATTGATTTAGGGAGAAATGGTGTCCGGATGGCAGTAAGCCTGTATCATATGTTATTTACAGAGGGAGAAAGGGCCCTGTATTTGGGAAACCAGAGCTTTGCACTTAGTTGCTGGCGCCTGTTTTCCCAGAATGCTGACCTTGGCTGCCTTTTCGTGTTCTCCCTGCTATGGGCTCTCTACTCTTGCTCCCCGTTCTCTCCTCAGTTGTCCAGAGGGTAAATATAATCACATGTATCCCTGACCAATGTGCTCTGCCCAAAGGGCCTTCAGGTCCTCCTCCCAAGAAGTTCTGCAAAAGAGTGTCCTGAGTGTGGGGCAGACGTGCTCCTAGGACATCTTGGGGAGGCTGTAGGTCTTACCTGGCATTTTACCTTACTTCGTTCTTACTCTATATGTCTGCCTGGCTGCTGGATAAATTCTGCCCCTCAGAGGTGACTACACAAGAGGGTGAAACTGCACATGTGTTCACATCCACTTTCTTGAGAAGGGGGGAAAGCTACCTTCTGAGGATGAGTGCCAGGGTCTTCTGCTCCCGTCTGAAGAAGCCAGGGAAAGCTTTGGCAGGGTTGACTGGGTGTCCTTCAGGAAGGAGAATCTGCCTGCCTGCACTATCAAGTGCAGACTCCTTGTGCCACACGCCACACCCAGATGTAGCTATCTTCAGGGTACACTAGTAAGGCAGAAAAGCCCCTGGCCAACAGAGGAGCTAAGATTGTGTAGAAGGTACACTATGTAGCAGTCTTTTTACCCTACTCTTCAAATGGTTATAGAAAGCTTTGAAAAACTATTCAGGCTTCTGCCCCTTGCAAGCATCGGGTAACTTAGCCACTTGAGTCAATGTCTAAGCCATATGCCCCTACCTCTGGAAAGTGGCATGGTTTTCAGGGAAATAAAAAAAATACACTAAAAATAGAAGAAAACTGGGCTGAAAAGCAATGAAAAGACTTACCAAAGTACACATATGGGGAAACCAGTGGCTTACCTCAAAAACTAGGAGGTCACTCTTGAGGATGCAGATTGTGCCCAGGGGCTCTGCAAACAACCCTGACCAGCCCCCCAGGATTATATCTGGCCTAAAGGAAGCTGGCCATTCCTCCACAGTGGGGAACTGATCTATATTCTTTAGAAACACTCCTAAGGTGGTTTACCTAGGTCATGAGTGAGAAATTTGACTCCAGCTTTCAGAACTCAAGGTGTCCAGACCCTATTCTCCCTGGGGCCTGCCTCTAATAGGTGAAAGACATCTCAAGGCATTTCTGATCTTGACTAATCTGGATACCCTTCCTCCTGGAAGAGTCCAAAAATTTAAAAAAAAATGCAGGCATGATTCCAAACAGGTGTACAGCAGAGGAGCACTGACTGGCCTAGCCCCCTCACCACGCCAGGGTCACGACATGTGTTCTGGGAAGGAGCAGCTGGGCCACTGCCAGGAAGCAACCAAGAGTTGCTGTCAAGACGACCACTGAGTGCAGTGGGCCCTCCACATCCAAGGAAGGCTGAGGTGTGTCTTCACTGGGGTAGCTACTGAGGAAAATAACTTAAGGACAAGAAGGTGTACTGGGCAATGGCATTTTTAGGCCAGGTGCCAGTGTAAGCTCTGCAGGGCCTAATCTCTGATCCAGGAGAAGGGATCCTGGTACTCAAAAGGAGTCCTGTGTCACCTGGAAAAACAGGCAGGTTGGGATTAAACTCTGGAAGAACATCAGATTTGAAGGTGTGTGAACATCTGTCGAGGATGGGAGCTGTTTGAGATCCCAGGGCCTGGCAGTGCCAGGAGAGATGGCACCAAATGCCCTCCAGCCTGAGCTGCCCTGGATCACGGGCTCTGCTCTTGGGTGGGTCTCTCCTCTCTCCTATGCACTGCCTTGTAGGCTAGGCAGTGAGGAGAAAGTGTCCTGGGGTGCAGAGATACTGCTGCCACTTGCATGCACATCTCCAACTGCATCTAAGGCCACCCTACCAGGGACCTCAGCTCCTGCCAAAACCAAAGGATTCAGATCTCAGGGCCAGGCCCTCACCAGGCGGTAAATTGTTTGCTAAAAGTGCATTTGCACAGCAGCAAAGTTTGTTTCTCTTTTTCCAGTAGCTTTGTTTTAACGGACCAGATGTTTTGTCTGTAAATTCTCCCAAGAACTTTTACAGTTTTGACGTGAAATAAACCTTCGAAAATCGGAGCAGTATATTAATGCCACTTCTGTGGGGCCTCTGGGCAGCTAGTCAGGGGCGCCCGGATGTGACTGGGGAGGGGGGCAGTCTTCGAAGAAGAAAAGTAGAGGACTTCTGTGCAGCAAGGTCAAGAACTGGCTTTGGAGATGTGAAGCGCCTCCCCCATCCCAACACAGGTACACCCCCTTGCTCACAGGCTCCCAACACACACCTCCAGATTGGATCTTGCTACTTTGTGAATTTCTGGAAATATGGAGCCCAACTGAACCCAATCGGCCCAAAGCACTCCAGGGATTTTTCACCATGAGCTCTTGGCTCAAAAGCAAAAAAAGCCTAAGGTTTTTCTGGGCAGCTTTGATACTGATGGTCCTGGGGGTTCGGGCAGAGCAAAGTGGAAGTGGCTCCCAGTCTACGAGGATCTCCTAAGTGAGCATAACTTGACTCTTGGGTGCCCCAGAACTTTGGGCAGAATCGGATGGAGTCTAGACTCCAAGGAAGCCAGGGCTTACTCACGGGTCACCTCCACGTAGTTCCATCACGCCTCTCCTCTATTCTGGATTTCCAAGCAGTTACAAATGTCTTGGGGAAAGGAGGGGATGAAACCTAAAAGCTAAACTATACGCCAAACGGAGGGAGGGAGCAGAACTAAGGCTGGAGTGGGGATGGTGGAGAGCCGGGTCTTCCGGGATACCCCTCCTCGGCTTGGGTTCGTGCAGCGGCTGAGTTCGTGGGTTTCTCAAGGCTGGGGCTGGCGGTCACTTTCCCCCTGCATCGCACCCCCACTTCCGTGTACGCTCCTTTGCGCGTCTTCGAATGTCTCTTTTTCTTCCTTAATGCTCTTTCGTTCTACCATTTAGTGAACTTTCAAAAAACTTTCTTTTTAGTAGGAAGAAGAGTCAATAAAATAAAAGCCTTTGTATTTCGGTCTAAAGAGGGCGGATGCACATTAAACTGCATTTTGAAGGGCGCAATTACCAGCGAAACGCTCTTTTCTCGAGTCTCACGTGTAGGCTTGGGTTGCGGGCAGAATTTTCGGAATTCCTCGCTACAACGTTGCGTGCCCCTTCACCACGTCCTGGGTGAAATGGATTTTTAGAAACGAGTTAGGCAGAGTTATAAGCAAACGAACCAAACCCACAGATCAGATAGCTGCGTCCTGAGGGAACTCACCCCTGGCTGAGAACGAGTATTTCCTCGCTAGTGGGAACGCAGAGGTGCCCACCACCTCTGCTCGCGCGGCTGCGGGAGCTGCCCGGCACCAGCGGGCATGTGAATCACAGCGTGTGCAACCCGCCTCTAGGCTGAACCCCGGCTCTTCGAATGCAGCAATCCCGGAGGAAGGGGCGATTCCAGAAATCAAACCACCCTGTCTTCTCCGCAGACTAGACAACCCAGTTTTCTATGCCCGGTGACCTCTTAACCGGCCAGGGAATTTGCAAGACCAGGAACAATCTCGTTTCCCGTGTTTTCCTGTATCGCTCTT